GTCAACATGGAAGTTTCAACTCCTCACCTGAAACAGGTATTTCTTGGCAAAATTATACATTGTATGGTCAATGTTGAAGTAGTTGAACACAGTAGTGTTTACTGCAACAACTGCAAATTGCGATGACCAGCCACAATTCATGGTTATCTTAGGGAATAATACAGTATAAGAAATGCAAAACGAGACTAAGAATAATTTGCGGATTAGTTTCTAATGCTGATACCAATTTAGTTAACGGTGGGCTACAGTAACACACTAGAAATGGTAACTTATAATCACTAGAGCAATAGCATCTATTGTATAGTATGAGGTACTGTATATAACCAAGGAAGTGAAATCGTACGGGGAGACAGAAATTTCAGCTCGCTGCTTTTTTGATGAGCGTATGAGCGATTGTCATTTTACTCTTTATTCACAAAGTTTGACGATTCGGCGGATTTCGTCTCCTTGGTTTCCTGGGGAACGCAAGTTCACTGCAATCTGGTTAGCCAAATACCTGCATACCCCATCAGAAAAACAGAAGCCTAAATTTCAATCGCATTGAAAACGAAGTTGCAACTTCACACTCATCGTATTCTACAGCGCCACCACTTTTTCCTGTTATTGATGCAGACCGATCAAACTTGCTTCACGTGGATGTTTAACCCATAAAAACGATGATTGCTTGAAGTTGTTTTGTTTCTAATGCGACTGATATCTAAACATCGTGGTTTGTCTGTTGAGGTTGTGGAAGTATTTCACTGACTGGATTGCAGTCAAGTCAGTCTTCTCCAACCCTTAAGAGGGCGAAATCTACCGAAATATTAGCTACTATTAATAAAGAGTACGATCACAATCTCGTGCGCGCTTATCGAGAGAACGGGAACTATTGATCAGTTCAGAGGTTAACAAAAAGTCATCTTTTGGAAATACTCCGGAGGAATTCGAAGAAGCAGAGGATTGGTGATTTTCACAGAGTTCTTTCATCACCTTATTTTTCAGTAAGAGAAACCCGTTATAGAAATATTCAAATGTAATTAAAAGTCTTAGCTTCGTTCATTTATGATGGATAGCTAATAGGAAGAAGTAAATCAAACGAGCGGTACCCCGTGAAGCTCAGTGTTAGATAGGAGGGCGTGATAAACTCAAGCTTCGAACCGCAATGCAAGTGGCAGATGATCTTAACAGCAATAACAGTAACAATAACAACAACAATTACAATAGCGATAAAAGCAACAATAACAATAACCATACAGTGACAATGAGAATAGCAATGGTAATTAGTAATAATAATAATAATAATAATAATAATAATAGTGATAGGCAGCAGTTAACGCAGAGGTGGCGGTACCATCAGGAACATGGTCTTGGTTCGCCTCGCTTCGGGTCCAACAAGTCTCCCAGCCATCAGGGATCTGGAAATTGATGCCAAGCTGTCTGCAAACAGCCCACTATCTGCAGTCAATGTGGGAACGGCTTCCTCAAGCATTTAGAGAGAAACGACCTGACCAGCGTTCAACGACACTGACAAAGAACACGACAATCGTCAAGCAGCAGCCGAGCTCACATGCGCAATGTTCGAAGACTTTCGTGGGTGATGGATGCAGTTGAACGAATCTAACGCAAGAAAACAGGGATCACCACAGTAAATGCGAAGGCGGGTAGTGAAGAAAACCTTCATTACTTTCATCCCACCTTTGTACCCTCATCACATTTCCACTCAGCTCTCTTAAGTACTTTCGCGTCCAGTTTGAAAAGTCCCAAATAAGCAGTAATTATTGAGAATATCTTTCCCAAGTGGAGAACGTAATATTCTTAATAAAAGGTTGCCAAATTTTTAAGACAAGTTAGCACAAGAAAGTTTTTTTGTGAAAATGAACTCTGGAAAGATTTTCAAAAATGAGAAAAAACTGGTTGTTTACAACACTGTTTGTTGAGCACTTGAACGCTTAATCCAGAGTTGCCGCTTTTAGAACCTTCAGGTTAGTTTCTCTACAGGTTGTTTCTCAACTCGTAATAATCCAAATCACAATGGTTGACGGAGGCCAAATTTACGAGCACTTTTTCCTGTACAATAATTGTCATCTTAATATTACCAGTTCTGGAATCGGTGCTAAACTATCCAAAACCGACCATGAGAACTTGGTGATTCGTTGTCACTAAGATTATGTAAATTATGATTTTAGAGACATCAGGTTACGGGCGACATCCCGACGAGAAGTCATCGTGGTATCGCGATTCTCCGCTGCTAAAGCATCTATTGAAGAAATCTTAACGATCTCTCTTTCAGTTAGCTTATTTTCCTTGAGCCAACTATAGCTGACATGGATCGTGCTCATGTATACTATTTCTGAGTGAACTTCATTTTCTGTATTCAATCCCGTCATTGTACTTCCAGTAACATAGTAGAACAAACACCTATGTTTGTTTTTATGTGTTTTCTGCTAGCTAATATAATACCAACTGCTCCAGGCTGCATTGCCCACCCAAAGTAGATCGTACCGGGGGCGGCGATTGATCGAAAGCCGCCTTATAGAAAAGAGCACCGCCGAGTGAAGTTCTCCACTCGAGCGGTGCTCACTGCACTGAATTCAACTCGATGCGACAACAAACATCCACATCGTGGCGACAACCACCTGAGGATCATCGGCTCAAAATCGGTGCAGCTCTGAGGAAGGCGAACGTGCTAAAACGTTAGCCGAATAAAACTCTTACGCCAAGCCCGTGTCAACTCATTCATGTAAAAAAGTTTGTATTTGTTTGTTCAACAAGAGATGTATAGTTTTTCAGTAGGGATATTTCAAAAGTTTTTCCTTCTGTGACTGCAAGTTTTATCTAAAGAACCTTCTATAAATACCAATTCAGAGATTAAAATAACTGTCTCAACATAAAGAGCACTCTTCGGTACCTTTTCATTTGTTTATTGCCCTTGCAATTGTCATGAGAGTGGAGGTGATCGGGATCGTGCGTAGGTTCCGGTTCAGATTGAATGTCTGCCGGTCTCTCTCCTTATTAAGACATTCAACAGTTCTTGTACGTGGTTTATATTTTATTCTCAAAGCAACTAGTTCAAAATTTATTGCCGTTTTCAGTGGGAGTTTCGTTGATGAACGAAACATTCGTCACGTCCCTCTACGTGCTCCCGTTTCGACGAGATACCCTTGAAAATGATGATTGCAAAAAGAACGTCATATTTTACATTACGTTTTAAAAATGAAAATATTAGTTGAGAAAGATCCACTGCAAGCTGTTCGTCAACTGCCCAAGTAGTTTGATGTGTGGACTGGGGCGTTTTCCACACATTATCAATTGCTCAAAAATCATAGAGAACGCAAGAAGTGGATTCCAGGTGATCTCGACAGTGGCGCTCAAGGAATCTGTAACTCTGCTAATTCCAAACACTATGGAGTTATTTGGAGAGATAGCTATTATCATTAATGAAAAGTAGGTTCTCCACGACCAGCAGCAAACAAAGAATTTTAGCTTTCACTTCTCATAACATCAAATAACGATCAGGTCAAGAGTTAGAGCACTCATAAGCAAAAGAACTGTACTAACTGACAGCAAACCGCAGAACGTTCATGAATAAGAGAATCTATTGATTAAAAATAAACTTTGGTCTTCATTTTACAGAATGGCTCATCAATGGGTGAAATGGTACGTTGGATCGGAAGAGAAAAGTTGCTATAAAGAAGCTGGAGGTTGAGCATTGCAGCCTCAAGCACGCACTTCGTACGAAAAATGCACCATTTTGCATGGCCAGCGTCGAAACATTTTCAACAGTAATGCTTCTTAGAGGGGACGAATAGCAGTGGTAGTGATGTCAGTCATCACGAGCATGGTGCTAGTTCGTTTCGGCTACGGTTTAACCAGGCCTTTTATCCCTCCGGGGTCAGGAAATTTACATCAAATCGTCTTTATATTTCGTGCCATTGCTACCAGTTTCTTCCAAGAAAACCGAAGTCAGCCGTATGGAAGCCCTCCCATTCTGAGCAGAAATGTACGTGCCACTTGCTAATCTCTTTAACGAATCTGCAATAAATTGGCATATAGTCGTTTTCACCAAGAACAGCTTTCTCTTATTTTAGATTTTAATTAACGAAAGTCTCTATATGTAACAAATTAGTCTTTTTATGAATAGTGGAAATTTTAATAATGTCTTTCCTACATTTCCAATGCAATGCTTGAATTTCGGTGTGTTCTTCGCAGTTCCCTTTTCAGCATCTGGTAGATGGCTTGCTTGGGAATTCCTTTCTTGCTCTTCTACACAATAAAAATAAAAAGGTTGAAGCTCTCGGCATTGGTCAATCTCTGAGGGATGTGCCAATTATTCTACTTTATTAAGCGTCGTTAGCGGTGATTGGATGCTATCTGGCCTTTACAATCATTCGCGGTGGTCCACTGAAGAATCGAGCCAATGTTGCTATCCTCCCAGAAAAGTCTCGTGCCAATTTTCCGACCCTAGAGGGATGGAAGGCTTGGTGGGTCATGGGCGCGAGGATCGATTCCACGTGTGTGTTGCAGAGCACCTCCAGCCACTGCACCACAACCCAATAAGATCGATTCTTTTTCAGTAAGTCTAGTAGCGTCAGTGTATCAATGATTTATATAGCGATATCTTTCTACATCAACAGTATAGATCCTCCTACGTCTCCAATTATAGAGAGGATCGCTGCCAGGATACAACAAAAATACGCAGGCAGTCATCTCTTGGATAACCTCATTCCGTACTAATGTGTCTAATCTGAGATATCTATGGATGGCAAATTTCCGTCTAAACAACACAAAGCATTCATCGACCTTCCTTCCATAAATTGATATGAACAAATTTTATCTGATTTCCGTGTTATTTCATCATTTCCTGATTTCAGATAAGGCGTTAGGAGATTATAAGTAGGAAACCCACTGAAAGTGTGGCTTATTCATCTAGGTCGTTCAGTAACAGCCGGTCTGGTGCGCTGTGAGTTCCTGCAGGCACTTCTGCAGCTCTCTGCAATTATTTCAGCGCAAACAATTTCAGCATGGACAAGGAATTACAGCAAAACAAGCGATTGCGAGAAATGTTCCGCCTCTTTCAACGATCGAAGAAACCTAGTAACAAAACGGTACGGAAGTAGAATTATTGTAGACGGATGCTAAAATATTTGTCTGTCTGTTGTTGTGTTTGTTATAGATAGACCAAGAAAAGGATGAAGAGCAACCAATAGCAACAATTCCAACTGGAAAGTTATCACCTTCGCCGCCCCGAAGACCTTCAAAAAAATCCGCTGATAAACGCCGGAAACGATCTGTCGGAAGGAAAAAATTAGGCTCGTCGGTATAAATGGTATTCCACGAAATTCAAAGATAAAACTGGGAATTTTTTAGGACTATCTGAGGATGTCGTAAGTGTTGGAATGTTTTTATTTGGCAACGATTCACTTTTACGTAATAGATATTTCTGAGTACAATTTAAGCCTGTAATTCGTTGATTTTGCTAGAAAAAGAGATCTTAAAACTGCACTACAGCAGGAGGAAGAGAATGAAGCTCAAACCTCACCTGATTCATCAGTGTCTGAGAAAAAGCGCAGGGCGATTAGAAAGAAATATGGTAAGCACTGGTTTATAAATGATGTCAAACTTGAATCAAATCCACTGCTTAACAAATGATATTCAAATAAACAATTTTTTAAGGAATTCTCTCGAATGATGAAGAGGTTAGTGTTGTTGTTCTATTTATGCATTAAACTACAGCAGCAAAAGCTGGTAGTGATATACGGACTCTAGCGATAGTCGACGAAGAGCGACGCCCACATCCATTCATATATTCATATATATACATATGTACATATATGCATATATATATATATATACATGCGCACATGAGTACGCGTGTAGCGCAGTGGTCGGAGGCGCCCTGCAATAAACATAGGGTCGATCCTCGCGAAGCGCGCCCACCAAGTCCTCCATTCCTCCGGAGTCGCTAAATTGGTGCCAGACTCTTCTGGAAGAATAGCAGAACTGGTTCGATACATCGGTAGCCCACCGCGAGTCATTGTAAAGGTCAGATATGCATTCAGTCACTTCCAACAATGCTTAATGAAGCAGAATGCATGGCGCATCCTTCAGGAATTGATCAACGCCGAGAGCTTTATTCCTTATTTATTTCCACATGAATACAACGATTTATATACATGATACACTGAAAGGCGAGCTGGTAAATTACCATACGGATCCTTAACTTTCACGTATTTCCATTTAAAGTGATATCTTACATAAATACACTTCAGTTTTTTCAACGAGCAAGAAAGAACGACGTTGAAGAGTTTGAAACCGTTAACGTGACACTTCGACCGGCTGCGACGAAGATGCGTCAAGCAAAATTGAGGTGTTAACACAATAGCGACCATTCTAGTAAAATACAATCGCTGATGAAGAATAAGTAGGAGAGCTCTTCAAGTTTTGAAACATGAAAGGACTACTAGTGGGCGGTGGGTGGCCAAATAGTTGGTGGAACTGCCCGGTGAACTGCATTGGTCTGGCTACACTTTTGAGTGACGTCCACCTTGTCACATAGTCAGCCCATTAGAGTTCGTGCAGACGATGTTGTGAAGTGCTTTAATATGTAGAAAAATTTTAGCAGTGATATTTAACATTTGCTTTTAGATGGAAGTGTGTAGACGACAAACAAGAAGTAGACGTTCGTCAGTTAAACAGAAATGATAGGGATCTTGCAATTTTGGAGTATGTAATTTGCTCACTTGTCAGTGCAGGTGGTAAAACAAATACAAATTACTCCAGCGGCGCATACAAGCCTGAATTGGTTTCATCTCCAAAAGTGTCCATGAAGTGGAAGAAACAATCCACGCACGACGAATTCGACAAGTCCTTAGATAACACGCAAAGTTTCGAGGAGGAGAAGGAGCAAGTAGCACTTTTAATTATTCATCGACTTTGGAGTAATTCATTGCTACTTGCTATCTATTTCAGGCAGAAAATTCAGAGGGAAGATCGAAAACTAAAGACAAATCGGAAGTCTGTCAATTTTTTCTCTTCACGAATCGTGAAAGTGAAACCATTGTGATCTCTTTAGCTTTTACAAATGTCATCGTTCTTCAGGAAAGAATTTGCAAGCTCCTTAGGGATATCACAAGGCTTCTTTCTCGGATTTCAGACTTAGAACAAAGCCAACAGAGGGCTGCTTCTACTATTAACAGGCTTAGGATGGAACTGAGCGCTAGAGAAAAGGTTTGCTCTCAGACAATGAAGTTGCTTTAATCCAACCACTGTGGCGCTACTCCAATAATCACTGGATCGATCAATGGTTCAATCCCTCAACATGGATTTATCAAGCATTCCACTCCTTCGGGGGAGGCAAACTGGTGCCACATTAACCTGGAAAGACAAAACACTTATCTTAGACATCAGAAGGCCACCGTAGGTATAGGCTACTAGGCTCTCTCGTATAGGCTAATCATTCCACCTATAGTTAAAGTCGAATGCATGGGGCACCCACCAGCGATTATTAATGCCGAGAGTTTCACCCTTATAACCATATATCAGAAGTTGTTATCAATCTCTTCCAAGTTAGTTAAATAAAAAGGCAACACTGGCACTTTTTAGTGTTTGGGAAGGTTTGGATATTAACATTTTCCAGTACAACGGCTAATGTTGCCGTGTCAAAATTATGTTCTCTCACGAATACACTTGGACACTTGGATGGACCGTCTTCACTGTGTGCAAGCCTCAGCGTAATTTCCATTCTCCGGAGATTTACTGGTCTAGCCATTGGGGGTCCATGGAGTTCTGAGGTCAACCAGGCCGAAGTCTGCCCCATGTCGTCACCACCACAGGCATTCGCCGTCCCTGTGGATCAAAGGGAGATTTACTATCATGTGACTAGTTTGATACCAGCAAGGTGGTGGAACCTGGTATTGGTTTACTCTAAGCTAGGCTCCCTGATGGAAGGGCTGAAGCCCTTAGGGGGATGAACCTCCCCGGTGCACATCATAGCGTGACACCCAGGAACGCCTACCATCCACGATGAGGCGGTAAACCATTGGGAGGCTCACAATTACAGTAGTTCGATTGTGCAGAGGAAGTATTTCGGTCCAGGGTATGTAGACAAAATATGCTGATGGCAAAAGATCAATAGAACTAACCGAGAGACAGGCTAAACGAAGGGCCCGCATGGTGTGGCGGTGAACGCGTTACTCCCCGGAAAGGACAATAGCGCGTTCGTTCCCCACCGCAGACACCTAGGATCTGCAGCTTTGCAAATATCTCAGCATCATTAAGGTATGTTAAATTTTCAGAAAATAAGCGAATTAAACAAAAAAATTGCACTATTGGAACGCAAAGACACCGAAGCACGCATAACGGAAAGGGCCGTGGACGAGGATAACAAGCTGGTGAGACGACCACTCAATTTCACTCCACTTTCAATATGCCGTTCTAGAATGGAGTGTTTTGACAACAACCATAACTCCTCAATGATTGACGTAAGCTTTCAGACATCTCAACAGGAAGCCATTGCACTCAGAGGCTTGGCTATCATGAAAAGGAATCAGATTCTCGAGCAAGTTCTGAAGCCACACGAAGCTCATATTTTATCGCAATTTTTCCAAGACGAAACGCTGAGACCAAATAAGATGGTGAGAACACTGTAGCGTCGGATAATCTTCTCGCTGTTCAGAGCTTGTTGCAGATCGTCCAACTCATTGATAAGGCTTTTGGTTACGGTATTGAAGTGCTTCTAATGAGACCAGATCTTTTCGAGGACGTCGTTGACAATGAACTGCGGCTTTTCATGCTTGACAGCGCAAAGGTGAGAGCTTTCAAAATTTTGGTCTTGAGAGGAAATTAAATAACAGCAGTTAACCCCATAAAGAAGCTGAATGAAGGGCGTAGTGGTTAGTGGTGCCGTCGATTACGAAGCAAAGGCATTAATTCCCACGACCGACTTTCTGTTAACCTCGGCATTGATCGAATAGTTCTCGATATTCTTGTTGAGCAAACACGTGGTGCTACTTTATTCTTTGTGCCGTTAAAGCTGACGTTTTGGCGGATTTTGCCTTCTTCAGAGCCTGGAAGGGTGTATTGATAGGCAATGTACTAAGTCAAACGCTCCGATAACACATACAAAAGGATGGAAATTTAAATCGCAATCACACGATCAACAGCTTCTCGAAAAACACACCGTTTATTACGTCCCTTCCACTGAGGACGAACAACTGAGTAAAGTCGCATATGGTCGGTGAATGCACCACCCCACATCAGAAGTCGATGCGAAGGTAAGGGTCAGATCACGTTTGACCTCTAAGAATCCTTCCCTGCTATTAATTTTACGGTTTTTGGTATTTATCCAAAAAGCCTCTAGAATGCCTGTAGAAGCACATTGGTGTTTTTGCATCCTGCGCAAGATAGTGACTTTTATATCGAAATCGTCTCCGCTATGTTTTTGTATCCTATACATCCCTAGTGACGTGCCTTGTCTTGCTTTTCGTTTGCCAGCTAGATGTTCTTTTATACGGATACACAAAGATCTGCCCGTTTTGCCAATATATTCATCTCCGCAATTATTACCAGAGATCAGCTATATCGTACCTGAACTCATGCAATCACCGTCCCTGCCGTAAGGGCAAATTACGCAATTTGTTTCACATAGACGGTCATACAAGCGGTTACGAACTAACTGAGGATGTAGAGTAGCTGGCGGTATTTCAACCATCGCTACCGATTCCTCTAGACCTGCTCTTCTCAATCATCGTTGCACTTACTCCTTCGCTAATGAAGAGCAACATAAACGGAGTTTTGTCTTGCCCACGTTTTTCCTTTTGGGGCGTTGTTCTCCTTCTAAAATTATCTCTTGGGATTGCTATTTCGTAGCCATTGGAGATGGCTATTTGCCGAGCCAAGTTACGCGATTCCTCTTTTAGTTCCCTCTTCGTGCAGGTGACTTTTCGAAACATGTTTCTTACAAGCGCCCTCTTTGTGTGTGAAGGGTGGGAGGAGAGGAAATGAACGAGATGTTCTTGTTACTTGGTTTTCGATACTATTTTGTCATGTAACCGTTATCCGATAAGTTGATCTGAATGTTAAGAAATGGAAGCCGATTTTCTTTTGGTTTCTTACGGGTAAATTTGATGTACTTAGACCGCTCATTCAACAATTCAGAGCATTTGTCCATCTCCTCTTGAGTAAAGATGACAAAACAGTCATCTATATATCTACAGTAGAGTGCCGGTCGGAGATCAATAACGGGGCTTCTACTTTAGACATAAATGCAATGGCAAGACTTGGCGCCCGTCGTCCCATTTCCAGCCCTCTAGTTTTTGCGTAATAATTCCCAGACCATCTGAAAATAGAACTGTTTAGGCACTCTTTTAAGAGAGCCATGAGCTGCTTAATGTACAAGCCATGCATATTTATTCTTCCTTGACGTTTAACAAGAAGTTCGAGGATGGCATACATTGCGGAGTCATTCGATACGTTGGTGTATAGCGCGGAAACGTCGAAGGACTCCATTACGTACGCGTTATTAGGAGACTCGTTACGCAGGCGTTTCAGGAGCATTTGAGTGTTCGTAATGTGAGCTGGAATATGTTTGAGCAGCTGGGAAAGTATTAGGCTTAAGAACCAGGTTATTCTATCCGTTGGCTCATCTACACAACTGATGATGGGTTTAACTTTGAACGATGATGGATTGGTTGACGTAAAATCATCAGCTGGTACCAACTTATCTGTTTTAATAAGTAGGTATAAGACGGGACATGTTGGTCTATTGTTCTTAAAGTGCGAAATCACCGATGGTTTTATGCCTGTAACCCTTGCCACATTGACCCACTGATTAGTTAGATTTCGGTACCGACTTTTGCACATAACTAACGGAAAGTAAATTAAAGGCGTCCCTGAAATCCAGATAGCGTAATATATCGATATCAATCGTACCATTGCCACAGAATATCGTAGACCATCTTTAGGCCATAGTTGAACTCAAAGGCCTCGCATCCCCATTTATGACGTCCAGGTATCTATTGTGTGGCTTTCCTTCGCCCAGTTATTCTTTATATGTTTTCGTGCAATGGAATAAGGCCGATTTGTGATGAAGTCAAAATGCGGGCTTTCTTTTCAATTTCTATCTAGCTGATCATTTCGTACGACTGCTTTACCGCATAATGCAGTTCTGTTTGATTCATTTCTCCTTTAGATGTTGCAAGAGATGTTTTTAGGCAAAGCGGATTTTTCTGGATTGCATGCTTCTGCATCCTGAGCACGTTCCAATTTCTTGGGGAGGAGATGTACTAGCAAAACGCCAACAGCTGCATCAAATTTTTACTCAAAAGGCAGCCTCGAAATCTATGGAGAATGAAGGAACCCGTGATAGATTAAAAGAGAACGGAGAGAGCCGAAATTCAAGAACGCAGACGGGATTGTTCCACAGGAAATCGCCAGCTTCTAAATCATCACGTAGAGCAGTTAAAGACGTAATTAATCGCTCGCTCTCCCCGACTGTTGAAGAGGAAAAGGAAAAGACGCAGGACTTTGATTTCATAAAAGCAGATGGGTACGAAAATGAAGGAAAATTTTTACAAAGGGAGGCTAAACAGGAAAAAGTTACTAGGAAAAAGGTAGAAAACAATATTCAGGAAAGTGCAGATGGACGCGGACAGCCAATAACCCTTCCTACGGTATGCGAAGTTTTCGTGTTTTACGAAATCTTTTTGTTTGTGCTTACATAAGTAGTGCGTTTTAGAATCAGATTCCCAACCAAAGGACGTTGGGACAAGATCGTATTTACGCTCAGGAGCATGGTAGACGGATGTCGCGCGATCGAAAGCCAAAATTCCGATCAGGAAAACGAAGAGAAAGGACAGGAGACGAATAGCCTCATGACCATTAGCACAAAACTGGTGTTACACCGAATTTACATTGCCAGAGTTATTAAATTTTCGCCTTGTCATGAGAAATCATGAGCAGTTATATCATCGCGTTATCGACGACGAGGTCTACTTACCCACTGATTATCAATTTCTGGTTCGTGATGTGCCAATTCATTCATTCAATGATCGAACTCTCGAATGCGGTTCGCTTCAGAGCAGCAGACTGTGTGCAGACAATACTTGTTGATTGATTTGGTGTAACTACGTAGTGACCTGCTGTTCTGCATATTCTGAACACCTATCGCTGAAAGGAATAGGAAAAGTCACCGTGCATACTTTAACTTGCCTACGTAAAAGGTATGTATACTCTTTATGAGGCAGCGATCGGTTGATGGTACATCACCGGCCCGGTTTCCGATGAACTGCAATCAATCATATCCCCCACCGAGCCAATTAATTAAAGAGTAGTGAAAACAGTTAGCGTACGTGGAATTTATGATAAATACTTTTTCGTTTCCTAGTGAGGCACTTATTAGAATTCGGCTAACGCATCGTGATAACTCAATATTTTGTACATCAAACGATGGAGCGAATTTTTCCGGAGCCAGTCTTCAGGCAGAGCTATTGAGCCAGCAGAACGGGTTTTTGAAGGACACGGTGCAGGTGGCGAAGACTTGGTCTTTCTACCACAACGAGAGGCGGCAATCCTTTTGTCTGATAATGCGTGAACGGGAATCATCAATTCAGTAATGTTTACATTCTAAGCTGTTGTTTAACTGTGCTTCAACCAAAATACGCATTAATATACATCTATTCATTACCGGAAAGTGTTCATTTGTAAAAAGTCACAAATCATCCGTGTAGTTTGGATCTTGAAAACTGTCATAAGGTGTTTCCTGCGTCCTGCTCAGCTACCATTTCACCAACTTCGAAAACTCCAACCTGGAATTTAAGTCGTTTTTAGACCTTAGGCCACTTCGTTTTCGTAGGATAGTAATTCAGGCTTTCCTTTCACATTGGACACAATTCAGAGTCGGTATGACTCAGAATCATCCAATAAGTGATCTTCACAACAAATGAATTACCACTATCGTGAAGCACATCATTACTTACAAGCTTTCCCTCATTGAACGAAACTTTGTCGACTAGCTCCTGAAGCTGAACAGCGCAGACGTTGAAAACCACAGTAGCAGCTGAGTATAACAGGAGTTCGTTGTGCAGTGTTAGTTCAAGAGTACATGGAAGGTATAAAATAGTCATGTAGAGAAAACCAAGATGCATTACATTAAGATGGACTTCTGTTATATTGGTGGTGAAAGCACCCGGCCACCGATCCATCCTTCATATTTACTATGCGGCTCTCTGCACTTCTCGCATTCGACTCGTTTCCTCATATCCATCATCCATATATATCTTCCAACCTTTTACGCTTGGATTCGGCTGCTGCTTCAGGATTTTCGTTCCATTTTGCATGTCGTAAAATGCTCGAGCGAGCTCGGCCGACAAGTATAATGCATATTATACTATATATACTATTATACTATACTATTAGTATAATGTATATTATACTTCCACGTGATTTCTGTGCGGTTGGTCTCTACGTGACATACCTAGTGGAAACCTCATTGAAAGCAGCTCTGAAGAAGGCGAAATCCGCCGAAACATCAGCTTAATCGTGAACAAAGAATAGTAACACCTCGCGTTTGCTCAACAAAAATACGAAGCAATTATGAATATTTGCCAGTTTTTGCAATCCCCTTGAAAGAGCGGGATACAGGTGGGATATAATCGTTCGGCAAAGGGGTACATGGGGTAGCTGTGGATATATGTGCTTTCTGCTGTGATTTATCGGAAAAGCTTGGAAGTGTGTGAGAGCACAGTTCTGCAGAGAGATGTATTACCATTCATGAGGTAGTAACCGGTGAGAAGACAGTGATCGTTTGGAACTATTCACTTCCCTTCTGGTGCGATTAGCTCTGTTATAGAATTGAATTTGGAAAAATATCCTGCTGTGTCACAAGTCCATACGAAGTTCTTGTAAAAAACCTTTTCTTGTCATTTGAGTAGTAATTTAAATAATAAACATGTATCAAAGTCGTTGAGCTTACACGAGGTTTATAAATGTATTTATTTCGGCTAACATTTCGACGTCTTTGTCTTCATTAGAACCGACGATCCGAGTCGGTAGTCCACCGCTTTTCTTCGACTCGGTGTCCTCGTTGTCGTACCGAGACGGATGTAATTTGAGTAGTTCGAATCAAGTATCCAGAGCAGTTGTTTTTTTTGTAAGATGTTACTCACAGCTTCGCAGTTCACGAGAATCTCTAGTACTTCACTGTACTTCTATACGATAAGAAATACCGAAGCACAGCCAACGTAAGTTTCAAAATCCTCCCAAATGCTGATAGTAATACGTTTCTCTGTGTGGTAAATCACTTATCCTTCTGATTATCATCGAGTGACTCGAGCCCACCCCAGCGAAATCTCCATTTGCTTCCGTTGCGAGCATCTGCAGGCCGATAATTTTTGTTCCTTTAAGGGAACCGCAAATCATCATGTCCTTCTCAAATGTCTGTTCGTTGACGTGGGTTTTGACTTCGGAAACCATTTTTCACTTTCGTGATGTGGAATGCTTTCAGACTTGGCCTCTCCACTGCTCATTCGGTAACACATAGTGAATGAATGGTATTGAGTGGTTATTCATACTAGTGAATTGTTTCCGATGCCCCGCTTGCTCACATGGCTGTCTTTCGTTCAGCGTACTGACAATTCCGTTTAGGACAACGCGAGTGAAAGGTTTGTGGACAGAAGACAGAGACCAGATTGGGTGGTAGTTGCTAATATCGTATTCGTTTTTGTATAACACCACGGTGCTGGTGTTCCATTGAATAGGAACTTTGCACACCGAAAACTAACGTGAGAAGAGCCAAGCCAATGTTTTAACGAGGACTAGCGGATGGTTTTTCGAAAAGCTGTTAGTTTTTTTTTACGAACGAACGCACTATTACCCTATCGAAATTACTATTCAAGTGACAATTATTCACACCAGAAGCGAAGTGAACAGCTCCCAACGATCGCTGTGGGCTCAACGGTTACTACCTCATGAATAGTACATCTGCATCTCTCTGCAGAACTGTGCTCTCACACACTTGCAAGCTTTTCCGATAAATCACAGCAGAAAGCATATATTAATCCGCAGCTACCACACGTACTCCTTTGCCGAATGATTATACCACACTCGTATCCCGCTCTTTCGAGGAGATTGCAAAAATTGGCAAATACTCATAATTGCTCCAGTGCACGGAAATCTTTAGTAAAAGGCGGAAGATTTTCTCGGTTAAATGCGCTGGAACGAGAAGCACGGTGACCACCCATGATTATTGCACTATGACGTCAGTGGTGCACACAACACGGGTTTGCCTTTACAGCACAGCGTGCAGTGGTGCTTCGCATTCAATCTTTGCAATAATGGCCGAAGAAATATCAAGCAAAATGAAATCATTTTTTCCTCGCTCCCTCAAATTTACCTTTTTTCTAGAAAGAGAAATTGGCCGAAAGGAAGTGTTGTTCGACCCACTTTTCGGTAGATAGATTTCAACGTTTTTTCCTGTTCCTCGGGTCCTAGTGAGACACCGCAGATTCCCCTATCACTCTAGGACGGAAGTTATCCTTGTGTTTGTAATGCATCAGTTCACCAACCACACGTCATGGAGACTTCTCGACAAATTAAATATCAGGTTGATCGGTCCAGTTATCTGAACTGATTCATGGGGTTCATGGTGCCACCTACACATATATCTCGCTGGTTTTTGATGTGTCATCCCAATGTTGATATTAGACATTAGAATGCTGGCTAAATAATGTCATCCCAAACCGTGTATTGTATATGTCCATCATTGATAACTACACAACATATTCCTGTGGTAAAAAATGCGACAGCATTATCCAGCAATATACTTCACCTACAAATGTTTTGAGCCTCATCGCCGCTAAATGTGTTGCTGGATGTTGACCAGCGGTCAATATCAAAGAGTTTATTCTTCAATAGGTGAACCTAAGCTTAAAATTATTTAGCTTAACATTGCCATCCGAAATTCCAGTTAAGAGTAGATTTGGGCGATAAAGAGTACTACCCGCTAACCGTGGACCATTTTTCAAAAAATGACCGTTATCACTTCTGCTGTGCAGATCCCAGCACTTTTTTGAATTCGATTCGTTTTCCTCGCATCCATCGTCCACAAAGATCAGTGAGCATTTCGCGCGTTGTTTTGACTGCTGCTTGAGGATTTCGTCTTCCTTATCAATATCGTAGAATGTTGTTCGAGTCCACTCTCCAAGCAATCTCGGAGATAGCCAGACTAAGGCGCTCCCAGGTGAGTTGGAGGACAGCGTTGGAGTGGGCGCGGATCGAACTAGCGCCTTTGCTTCCCACTCGATGGTACCACTAACCACTGTGCTTTCCCGGCGGTAAATAATTTGTCGCTAAAAGTATTTTAGAAAATAAAAGTGTGCTACTTGAGTGGAGAGTAATTTACAGGTGTGGTAGACTAAACCGTAGATCCACTCCCAGAGGAATTTCCTGCCGGTTAATCGCTAGACGGCGTGGCGCGTCAGCGGTTGGCTGTTGGAATTGGTTGAAGATGGTCTATGAGAAACGTTGTGTTTCCCAGAAACGAAATTGGGTCCTGGGAATGAATTTGCTCTTCCTGGTACACCGATTTGGCACATAAATTCTGTGTTTAAGTAGACATATTCATGCATACGGACGTGTGCGTATTCTTGTTGGCGCGGATTTTATTCTACGAGTCAATTCTGCCAAGGCCTTCAACCAACTGGGGAATATATGGAAGGCACTTAGGAGTTGCCTTCAACAACAAAGCTCCTCCTGTACTGTGAAGAAGACTGGGAACATACCCGTATGTGCAGATAGTCCCAACATTCACAACTTGGCAAGCTATAGTTAGGTGTTAAATCCTAAACACGGTAAACTAAATGAAATTCATTTCCGTGATCAAGAAAGAGGCCTGATATGCAGCGTTGGATAGGAAGAATACGGAGAGGTTGCTAAAATCCTGGTGCCATTCTAGGATCCCTAAATCATAAAGGACTAATGTAACAGTATGTACCTACGATGCAAACACATTTGCGTCTGAGTCCTCCATAGAGGAAATGATCATTCAGGCACGAAAGATACAGCTCGACGTCATCGTATTGACCGAGACGAGAAGACATCACCTACTCAACGCAGTCTGTGACACCAGAGAGGAGAGAAACCGGCGGCGTAGGCTTTCTCGTCAACATGGGTTGATCCATGAGAATGGATCCAGTGGAGCAACTTTTAGCACGAATCGCACATGTGCTATCGATGAGATGTCGATAAATATCGGTCTTGACAATCTTCGTCATTTGCGTACCGACATCAAGCTACGACGAAGACAAAGTAGAAGCGTGCTTTATGGAATTGGAAAAACGTTACATAGGATACTACACATTCCCCAATGTCATCAACGGATATCTTAGTGCTAAGACTGGATCCAGAACAGTGCTTGAAGAAAGCCATATTAGTACTCACGAATTGGAAATGAACGAGGAAGGTGAGCGACTGCCTGATTTTCTCATAAGGAACAAGACCATTTGTGGTGATTCAGAATTGCAGAAACTTTGCTCTCAACGCTGCACATTTCAATACATGACTGGGGACTACCACAACGAAATAGACCACGTCATAGTAAATCGAGGTTTTTGCCTTACCGATGATGCTAGTGTCTCAAAATTCTGCAGGAGATTGGGGATCAGAGCATAGCCTCCTTCGCGCAAGATTTCATTCTTCGCGGAATGGAGAAAAAGCTGCTCAATTCAAAAACGAAGTCTCAAACCACCATAAACTGGTATTTATTCAGTTCATTAGTCGGCTGTTGAAAAGTTGCTGTTATTGATAACATAGACAAGGGATACGATCGGCTCATTCAATATCTTCACGTTGGCACTATGATAGCTGAAAGTTCGAAAATCATCAAGAGACAGTTGACTCCAGAAACACTTAAGCTGATATTTTTGTTCTTCTTGCAAACTTTATAAACAGCAAGTTACTACAAATAGCTCACTCAGTAAAACACATTTACTCAGCACATTGACAATGATGTCATAAAAGTCGAAAATGGAAATACCGGAGTCCTTTCGCCGCCCAAGAAGGATTTTATTGATACGGTAACAAACAGCAAACATGATAACATCACAACACATCAGTGCTTCCACAGGTGCTATGAACAGAACGTTGCAGTATTCTGTCTGTCTGTCGTCGTGCTCACATTGTCGCCTTCTCTCTGCGTATTAATAGTCAAAGGAACTAGGCTATCATTCACTAGTCATGTTGTTGCTTCTTCAGAGGCCAGTCATGTCGTTCGTCCCGGAAGCTGACCTGGCCTCTTTCATGATAAGATCCGATGTCGTGTATACCTGAAAGATACTACCAGTTACTTTCGATATAGTTGTGGAGGGTTTTAAGTATTGGATTTCAAAATTAATGATGGTTTTATGATGTGGAATATCAGCAATATGGAGGAAGTCAGTATGATATGGATGAAAAACTATGCCACGCAAATGATGTAGCAGATGGGATGCATATAGCGCAGTGGTTAGAGGCACCAAAAATAACACAGTGGGTCAGTCTCTGTTTCGATCCATGGCCCAGGCCTTATCAACCCTCAATCTTTCCGAGGTTGGCAAATTGATATCAAATATGTATAAGAGAATAAAAACACCGACTTGGTGAATCGTTAACTACCACGAGCTACGATAAAGGTCGAATATGCATCCAGTCCCCACTGTGATGCTAAGAATGGAGTGAAATGCACGACGAATCTCTGGGAAACCTCCAACTGCTTTATTCTTTATATTTCATAAGCATAGTGCCACCATGGAAAAGCTCTGTTAATGATGAAACGCTTAACATGGAAGTTCATATGGTTCATCAATCATTGAAGAATAAACGTATTTTTCAATGATTGATGAACCATATGAACTATTCGTATTCTTCTACACCGGACATTTCCAGTGTAGCTGTGGCGATGTATTTACGGCCTATTTCCAGTCTCATTGAATTGAAATGACCGGAGATATTTATCATTTATTGCCTTTATTAAATATATCTTGTCTTTGTGGAAGACATATTCACCTTGTCACCGACAGGAATGCCAGTATTTCCGAGTATGCTTCCCGTTGACGAAAACCATGACCCGAACGGATTAAAATCACCGTGCGGATCCAGATGTTGTGTATTTTGAGGCGGATCGTCTAAAATACAAAACTAAGTGAATATTCAAGAAAGGAACCTTTAGTGTTGTGATGTAACGGCATGACTTGAGAAAACGGGGATTAAACGGAGGGTTCGATGAAAGAATTTCTTGTAGTTTTCTGCATAGAAAGTAGTTCAGATTTCCACTTTATGAAACTAATTTTATATTACGCAAACGCAGCACGTTAGTGTCAGTAGTACTGACCAAGGGAAGGCGTCGTTTTGTTAAGCTACAATTGAGCCATCACTCGCGATAGTGATGGTCATCGGCCTTATTGATGGAGTCTAAAAACGGCAAGTGCCTCAAAAATATATTAATTATGATAGGAAACTGATTCTTCGTCACCTGCACTTTGCCATTTTCTTTCAGTACGATGTCCGTACTGATTGAAAAGCAAACTGGCATTTTTAGTGAAGTCTGGCATTAAGAACATGTACCACAACGGCTGTGGTAAAGCAACAAGCAAAGCGTATAACGTCCTAAATTCGATAATTTTAGCCATTACACTGTAGAGTCCTTTTGATGAGGAAGCCAGAAGTAATTCATCGCAGTTAGATGCCACTTCTTTCAAAAAGAAAAACTACCAATTCAGGATGATAAGCTTAAAATAATTCGACTCGAAGCTAAACGAATGTTTTTATCTCCTAAAATAATAAGGCGCTTGTGGCGCAATGGTCCGAGATGCCCTGAAACACATACGTGGAACTGATCCCCACACACATTTCTCACTAAGCCTTCCATCCCTCCGAGGTCGGCAAATTGGTACCAGACTTGTCTGGGAGGATAGCACCACTGGCTCGATACATCGGTAGCCACCGCGAGTCGTTGTAAGGGCTAGATATGCATTCAATCACCTCCAAACGATGCTTAATGGAATCGAATGCATGACGCATCCTTTAGGGATTGATCAACGCCGGGAGCTTTTTTTTGCTTGTCACTTAAAAATGACAGCTCTATTATTTTCGCTGGTTCTTTACGCAAGAGACTGAATTTCAGAGATTTCACTCCAGAGAGAGAAGGCAACCACGACCATAGAAAACCTCTTTGATAAGACGACAAGATACCCATTCATATTAGAAACTAAAAATGAATTGAAGATAGCAACAAGTGCAACACACTATAGAATTTGTGACTTTCTAAACAGCTATTCTGTTTAATTCTCGGACAAACCTGATAAGGATATCTCTGATCTCCTCTAGGTGTCTGCACTCAGGAACAGAGTAGATAAAGAGCAATGGCAAATGTGCTGAGATTCCCAGTAGAAGACATCGTAGGAAGCAAGCAATGTAGAGCTGAATGCCTTCTTATCGAACTTCTAATTATTTTTTAAAACCAACCTTTGGTTTCTAACCTGTTTGTGATGCTGTGTTGATTCTGACCAGTTGAAGCACCAGTTCTGTTTTAATGATCGGATTCTATAGACAAGAAAAGAAAGAAGAATAACTCCTATTCCTGAAATAGTTTTGTAGATACGTATTAGAGTTTCTAGTTCTGCACTGATTTGTTCCTTCTAAATGGAGAAGTATACGAACCGCTGATTGGCATCCATTGCATTGCTTTTAGGTGGCCGTTGTAGTAGTTCTCTCCAGTCACGTTATCCAAATGGCATAGAGCTGGCACCAAAATTGACTGATTTTGAAATGACTGAAAGTGAATGGCTTTTATACAGGTATTCCTGTGTGATTCACAGAAATCCTGCTATAGCGAGAACAAAATGAAATGTGAAATGCCCCCAATGACCTTCCCTCTTGGCCTTCTCTTTCAAGTCATGTGATCCTAGAGCTTTGAATACTGAATTTAGAAACCGTTTAAAAACATTCGAAAACTTCTTAGAAAGTCATAGTCACCATAAAAACCCACCACAGTTGCTGTTTAACATTCAAAATATCATATCTCCTTGTCAAGATGACCTTTTCCTTCCACACTTTGAGCAGTGAAGGAGTAGAATAAATTCGTTGACCTACAGTTTATTCACCCTTATCAAGTGTACTATGTGTAATCCCGTTAACCACTCAATACTTACTTACTTACTTGGAAACCTGGATGGCCTATCTTCACTAGTTGTGCGGTCCACAGCATAATTTCAATTCTTCCGGAGTTTTGTTTGCTTACCCATTGTGGTTCCCTCAAGCCCCGAAGTTAGCCTAGTCATAGTCTGCCTTACGTCGTCACCACCACAGGCACTCGCCGTCCTTGTTGATCAGAGCGAGACCACCATGCAACCAGTTTTATACCAGAACGTAGATGGATCTTGGTATTAGGGGTTATTTTATTCTTTATTCACGAACAAGCTGAGCCTGGAAAGGTCAAGTTAACAGCAAACTATTCGGCCAAACACCTTCATAACCAAACAGTGAAAGCGGTAAACCAAGATTTCAATCACATTGAACACAGAATAGCTTCTTTGCACACTCACCGTTTTCTATGAGTCTTCCACTAAATATGTCGCGTGGAGACCAACCGTACAGAGTTCGCATGAAAGCGTAATGTGCTACTCCCATCACATGCTTACATACTACCCAACATCACGAGTGATAATGAGGCATTCTTCTCTGTCGTTAATTTTCGGATTTCTGGAATTAATCCAGAACGCCTCGAGAGTTTTGCGCGCTTGTGTTCTTGATTCCTGCGTGAGGATCGTGACACGTACTTCAAAGTCCTCCCGGTTGTGTCTCTGGGTCCTATGCGTGCCTAGTGAGGTATTTGGCTTACGTTTGCCGACTAGGTGTTCTTTTATGCGGACACCACAGAGGGATCTGCCCGTTTCGCCAATGTATTCGTCTCCGCACGCCTTACAGGAGATCAGATAAACTGTACTCGAGCTCATGCAATCACCGTCTCTACCATTATAGCAAATTATGCGATTTTGCGTTGCACATAGACGGCCATATAGGCGGTTACGAACTAGCTGGCACCTAAGATTACTCGGTGGCATTTCAACTACGTTTACCGAATTCTCTAGAACAGCCCCTCTTAAGCAGCGTTTCATAGCTGCACTTACATCATTTCAGATGAAGGGCAGGATAAACGGGACCTTATTGTGGCCAGAGTTATCGTTTGGGGGCCTAAAGTTTCCTCTACACCTATCACGAGCTACAGTTTCGTAGCCATTAGAAATGGCTATTTGCGGTGCCAAGTTCCGGGACTCCACTCTGTGCTGTCTTCCCGTGCACATGCTGGTAGCTGTTCGAAACATGTTTCTTACAAGTGCTCTTTTCGTGTGATAGGGGTGAGAGGAGAGGTAATGAACCAAGATGTTTTTATTACTTGGCTTTTCGGTACCACTTCGTAACGTAGCCATTTTCTGACAGGTTTTTGTATTTATTTTCTTCTCATGTTCTATGACCAGCTCGAGAATAGCTTGCATTGCGGAGTCACTAGGCACATTGGTATAAAGTAAAGTAACATCGAATGACTCCAATACGTGCGTGCTGCTTGACTGCGGTGCAATGTAGGTGATCTAGGAATATTTTGGAACTGGGTAGATGAGTTGGAATGAATTTCAGCAACTAGGTTAGGAACAAAGCATAAAAGAACATCTGAATAGAAGGGTTAAAATTCGACAAAGTATTCCTTTAGGTAAAAACATAGGGCACAAAAGCGCAATGAGATTTTGGAGTGATTGCCCGGATTCTAGCACAGGAATCAAAAACATCAACGAGCAAGACTCTTGGAGAGTTCTAGATAAATTTGGATAAATTATGGCTTTCAAAAGCCAAGGATGAACCAGAAAGACTAATGTCTTACTACCACCCATGATCTATCAGCTCACTTCAAATTGATTTTTCGACATGGGTGGGTATCACCGTCATGCCACGTGAACAACACGGGGATGGTTTCACACGCAACAGCACTGTGAGTAGTTCTGAACAATATTTGTATGTTAGATGTTCATTAATCCTATAGGTATTTCACTAAAACATAAGGCCGTCGTTACATGAAATAAGTCCAGGCTCTGAAGTAGGCGAAATCACCAATACGTCGGCCATCGATCAACAACAACAACAACAACTTCTACCAACCTCGCACCAACTCACCAAGAGCAGTTCATAAGAGCATATAAATAAATATATCGATTACTTATGACAAGGTTTATAGAAAGTTGGTCTGGTGAGTTATTATTTTACTGTGTTTAGCACTTAATACCTAACTTACAGCTTGCTGAATTCATAACGTGTGGCCAGGCATACTCATGGGTAGGTTGCCCTTCTTTTCTGGATTAAAGGAGGAGCCTATTTGTTCGACGTTGCAGGCTTTTGGCCGAATTGACTCGTAGAATATAATCCGCATAAGCGAGAGCTTACCCACACACGCATGCATGAATACGCATAGCAAATACAGAAAGTATGTCCAAATCGGAGCAGCAAAAACAGGGAGTCCATCCCCTGGATCCACCTGCGTCTCAGGGAAGCAAAGGTCGCTTTTGGTCCGCGATTAAACTCCTAGCCGCTACCTGGAGATAATTCAGTTGCTTCGCGACTAACTGACATGAAATGAGTTTACGAGGGAGATTAGTGAACATTTCGCGCACAAGCAACATTTAGTAAGCATATATGAGCAATGCTACTTGTATGGAAAATGTAATCCGAGCAGAAAGAAGCCGTTCTAAAAGGAATCGTTTTCGCTCTGCATTGAGTTCATGACTGCTTTCGCTCGGATGTAATCTCCTGATCTTAAACCGATGTCACCTAGGCTTACTACCAACTGATTTAGATCCTTCACATGAGACGAATTCGTTGGACAAGAACGTCCGACTACTTCACGTATGCAATTATTCGTAGGAAATTAGACACATTCTGGAAAAACTTATCAATACAGTTCTGAGAATTTATTACAGAATACTTCAACAATTTAATAGAAAGAAAAAGGCAATGGAATACGGACACACTTTGTTTCATTGGCAATTTTTCTTCCTCTGTACAAACCTTTATCGACTAAAATTACCTCAAGCAAAGCTGGATCCTAGTCGGTCGCGTGGCGACGAATCCCCTTCTGATCCACAACGGCGACGGCTGCCTGTGGTGATGACTGACGACCTGGGACAGACTTTGGCCAGGCTGACCTCGGCACTACAGGGAAACACAATACCTATACCAACGAAACTTCGAAAAGTGGAGAATATGCTGGGGGCTGCACAACTAGTGAGGGCAGGCCGTCAAAGTATCGAAAGTAAATAAAACTCGGTCCACTTCAGATTATATATAAGAATTGCTATCCTATAAGACTTCTGCACAGCCCTTCTTATTTGGTTACGATGTACTTCCTCATTTCTTGTTGCAGAGCCTGTCAAAACATTATTTATATCGTTGTTATTACTATCTCTACGGCTTGATTGACTAGCAATGACTGTGCAGCTAATTTCACCACAGCGTAACTATAAAATTCGTGACACAAACACCGAAAAATTCCTGCAATGATCCTCTACAACACGGCGCATGCTCCTCGCGACATGATGCTGCCGATTTAATAATTCATTTTTTCTTACTAAGCCTAAACAAGAAGCAAAGTTTGGGGAAACTGACGAACTATAAAGTAGCGCTAAAAGAAGAGATAACGCGGACACTTTTTCTCATTTTATTTTATTCGTCTTCACATCTACTGTGCGGATCCCAGCACTTCTCATATCCAATTCGTTTCCTCGCACTCATCGTCCACGAAGGTCTTCCAAGTTTTTACGTGTAGCTTCGGTTGCTGCTTAAGGATTTTCATTTCATCTTGAATGTCGTAGAATGCTGGTCGAGCAGTTCTCCCTGGAATCCCGAGATAGTCGCGCTGGACCGTTCCCAATTAGATTGCAGAAAGCGATTTTTTTCCCAGAGAAGTCCGGTACCAATTTCCCGACCCCGGAAGGATGAGAGACTTGGTTGTTTCGGATCGGAATCGAACTAGCAGTATACTGGTGATAACGGACATCACTACCACTGTGCTATCCGCCTCATTTTAAGCGGACCCTTTAGCACTAAAAATAATAGATCTACCATTCTTTCAATTTTTGTCTATTTTCGGGGTCCAAGAGAAAATACACCGATAGCGATGCGCAAATTTGTCAGCCACATAACAAGAAAAGCAGATGACAGAACGTCGAGAAGGAGGACGATAGGAATGGGAGTGGGCTACAAAAGAATGCAAGCATCTTCTTAGAAGACTACCAAATTGATGAGCGGACATGTTTGTAGGCAAAGCCAATCATCTGCATTCGCAGCCGGAATCGATTTTAGGAATTCAGAATAGGTCTCGTTGACGACACCACGTTCAAAGAGAACCACCACCACGGACGACGACTGCGCGAGAGAGAAACGAATGGAAATTATACTGCGGCCCACATAACCAGTGAAGACGAGCAATCCAAGCATTCAAATAAGTAAGTATTACTTTAATCCAATTTTCTCTTGATGAACAAACATATTGTTGTTAATTTATCTTATTTACAAACAATCTGACATTTCGACTGATATCGTCTTCCTCAGAGCATGGAAAGGTCCCGTTGACTGGAATCTACACAGCGAAACACCTCCATAACTAAACAGCGAAAATGTTAAAACTCAATTGCAATCACATTGAACATAAAGTAGCTTCTTCGCACATTCACCGCTTTCTACGAATCTTCCACTATGTTGCGTGTAGACCAATCGTATAGAGCTCACATTGGAAGTGCAATGTGTCTCTCACATTAAAATATCACACTTAAATACCGTGCAAAATCGTACATTACTGTGAGCTATTCCTCTCTGCGGTTCATTTTTTGATTCTAGGAATGTATGCAGAATGTTTCCAGAGTTTCGCCACACTGGCGTTTTCGATTCCTATGCGAGTTTGTTAACTTCCACTTTCAAATCTTCCCCGTTATGGGTCTGGGATCTATGCGCGCCTAGAGGAGTATTTGGTTTAGCTTTAATTTTGTCGACGAGTGTTGTTTTATACGGATGCAGAATGGTCTACCCATTTCGCCTATTTATTCGTCTTCGTGTGCCTTACAAGAATTAAGATTAACTGTGCCCGAACTCATTCAATTACCGTATCTACTGTAAGGGGAAATTGTGGCACTTTGCTATACATAGACGGTCATAAAGGCGGTTGCGAACTAGCTGGTGTCTTAGACCCCTCGGTGGTATTTCAATCACTGCTTCTGAATTCGCTGGACCAGCCCTTCTTAACCAATGGATTATGGCTGCACTTATTCTTTTGAAATGAAGGGCAAGATAAACAGTACCTTAAACTGTCATTTGGGGAGCTGGGATTTTCGTAGCCGTTAGAAATGGCTAACTGCCGCGCTAGTTTCGGAGGATCTTCCTTCTGCCCTCTTGCTGTGGACAAGCTGATGGCTGTTTGAAGCATGTTTTTTATAAACACCTTTTTGTGCATGAGTGAGAGGAGAGGTAATGAACCATTATATTTTTACAACTTGGGTTTCAGTAGCACTTCGTAATATAGCCGTTTTTGGATAGGTTAATTTGAATGTTCGGAAATGGAGGTCAGAAAAAAGAAGGAAAGGAAGGAGAACAAACGAATCCCAGATATTGGCGCAGCAAATAGCCATTTCCAGTGGTTACGAAACTGTTCCTATTCGAGGTAGATGCTGAAGAAAGCCTAAGTTTCAGACAACAACGCTAAAGATAATAAGGTCCCGTTTATACTTTACTTTATTTCAAATGACATGAGTGCAGGTAAAAATTTTACTTAAGAAGGGCTCATCTGGTGAACTCAGTAGCAGTGATTAAAATACCACCCAGCGATCTAAGACAAGAACTAGTTTGCAACGACATGACCGTACATGTGCAAGGCAAAATTGCAGAATTTGCACTAACGGTATAGAGGCAATTGCATGAGTTCGGGGACAGTTAATCAGATCACTTGTAAAGCGCGCCGGAACAAAAACATTGGAGAAATGCCCGGACCAGTCTGCATCCGTATGAAAGACCTGGGCTGTAAATTTAAAACTAAATCAAATACTGCACTAGTCATCCATATGACATAGCGACACAACAGAGAAGATTTGAAGTGGAAGTTAACATCCTCGCATAGGAATCGAGGACACCACGGCGACAAAACTCTCGAAGCATTCTGGATACATTCTAGGAATCCGATAATGAACCGCAAGAAGGAATACCTCGCAATGGTGCACGATCTCGTACGGTATTTAAGTGTGATGTTTTAATGTGAGAGACACATTACATTTTTATGTGAATCCTGTGCGGCTGGTCTCCACTGAATATTTCACGTGGACTCAAGACTCACAGAAAGCGGTGGATGTGCGAAGAAGCTATTTTGTGTTCAAGGTGATTGAAATCTTGGTTCGTTATTCTCCCTGTTTGGTTATGCAGGTGTTTGGCTGGGTAGGTTGCAGTCAAATAGATCTTTCTAAGCTCTAAGGAAAGCGAAATGCGCCGAAACGTCATCTTGCTTATAAATAAAGAATAAATCAACAACCTCATGTCTGCTGCTCAGAAGAACCGTGAATTATTCGACCAATGCAGAGGTTAAAAAGAAGTCGGTCGTGGGAAATATCACAAGTATTACTTTAGTTCTTAGCATTAAGGAAAATCCAGCACAGTACCTCAATGGGTAGGGAGAAAGCTGGCCCAATTGCGATGCAGGTTACTAATCCCAGTGAGAGAATAAATATCCAATGTAGGTAAATACGTGAAACCTGAAACAACAAGAATTCATGAGTGTAAATGGCTTAAAGGAGCTAAAAATGAATAGGCAATCGATTTGAAGAGATGGAAGACGTTTCCACCACTTTGTCAGCGAACGTGGAGTGTTTGCAACTCTTAAGCTGACCTTCACATAGACCACTGGGATTAGCATTAAGAGAAGACAGTCGAAGCAAAGAAGTGACAAGGCAGCCAGATGATAAACGTCAAGAAACAACCAAACGGTGATGTGGAATGCAATCAACGTGCACTTGATCGGCGACATCGCCTGTGAGATTTACACTGTTCGTCACAATAAGTGCTTAAGTCACGAGAAATGCTTTGATAGACGATTTAAGACAATACCTTTTGTTCTCCATAAAGATGGAACAAGTTAAAATATAATAAGGAAGACCTACATCTCTGGTTTTCCCGTAGAAAGTCGACGCTATACCGTAAAAACCACAGTAAATTGTTGCTGAACCTGCCAGCAGGTCTGAAGCAGCAGGTTCCAGAAGGTTCTTTTCAGCTCAAATATATGTCAAAACCACCAATCATAAATGCTAGGTAAGAATATTGTTCAGTTTCTTTCTGGTGAGATTCTCTAAATATTTATCGAAATAATGACTTAAATACGACTTAATGAAGCGAGGTAAAGTTTTCATCAATTCCTCTTTGTTTTGTGAGTTGGAAGAAAGTGTCCATCACCTTTCCCGATATTGCTAATAACCGGGAAAATGGATTCCTCTACCAATGGACACCGAATTCAGAACGACATTTAGCTTGCCACTTACTGATTGAATTGAATTATTCGATAGAAAACCTCGCCCAAGAATTGATGACGCTTCCGAAGAAGTGACAAAGAGTCCGTGAGGAGACGTTGCGCGTGCTGTTAGCGAAACTGATA